GGAAATGTGGATATATGTGGATATAGAAATCAGTGCGCATCCCGGACCCTATACTTGCGGTGAAACAAGTGAAGCTACTGCATCTCTGTCATGTATTCCCTCTAAGACTCTAAGCCTATCGTGCAGCAACTTCTAGCATTTCACCGGAGCTGTGTGTGTGTGTACCATCTGAAGAGATGTAAAACTTCTACTTCCTTTGTCTGATTGTAAGCTTGCAGGGGGCCAGGAACCCATGACTGTCTTTCCTGGCCAACGAAGACCAGACAGCATGGGGGTGTAAACGTACTTGCAATTTCTATTTCGCAATCGGCATGGCACGGGGCTAAGCCCAGAACCCCAATCACAATGATTTTATTCTTCACGGTTGCCTCAATCTGGTATTTATTCCTTTTCATCGACATGGCGAAGGGCTAAGCCGAGAACCCTAGCGCGACAAGTTATTTATTCATTTGGGATTTATTCTTTTTCGTCGACATGGCAGAGGGCTAAGCCGAGAACCCTGACATGGCTATTTATTTGGAATCTTTTTGGCCTTTTGGAATCTGGTTTTTATCTACGTTCGACGTTTTCGGAAGACCTTCAACTTTTTCACAATTTTCATCCAAGAGACCTACCTTAGGTCATTGTGTCTAATCCATTTGCATGTGAGGGGACTCAGTTCCCAACGGATCACTTAAACGATCCATTCGTGTCTAATGTGATTTCCATGGTGACTCCGACATGGTGCCATGACTCCGACATGGTGCCATGGACCCACTTGAGGGAACCTGTTTCAAGGTGAATGTGACCGATTTGACATCCGAATTTACACATTTTAATGTGGTAATTCGTCTAAGTAAAGTGAAACAGCCTTTCGGTTATGCACCTTTTTCGGCGTCCTGCTGCTCCTGTGGTCCTTTTGAACCTTGGTAACTTCAACTCTGCGAGCGTGAAGCCGTTTCGAACTGCCAGAAACTCCCTTTCTATCGCTGCAGCTCCAGCTTTTGAAGTGAAACATGACATGAGCGAGAGAAGGCAACAGGCATGTCCTCTTCCTGCAGGTATGGTCTCTTTGGTATTTGGTGAGGTTGAACATTACGTGCACTTAATGCACTTGAACCTGAGCAGCTGTTTATGCCCATGCGGCTTGACTTGACTACGTTCCCGGTTGGGAGTGACGCACGATTACTTAGGCATGAACTGAATCCACTCTTTTTGTTGATCATCCTCTTAATTCGATTTGACCGCAATGTACCCTTGGCAGAGCTCTATTCCATCGTGGCCTTCACCACCACATGCGAGCCCTACGGCACCTTCACCTACAGCACCACCTGCATGGACGACATCTACATGGTACCAACTTCACACAATGCCCTTCCACATTCGGCAAAACGTCACGGACCAACCCCTATACTCCACCTACCACAACACCCATGATGACCACCGGACCAACGGAACATCTTTTCGGTCAACCTTCAGAACTTCAAGTTCACTGGGCACATCATACAACAGCACCTTCCCAATCTTTTCCTCCATCGGCACCAACCCAGTCTTTTCCAACTCACACTGGACCACAGCCACTTTCTGGACAGCACGGACCAATTTCGAAACACTCCAGCCCACCGCCAACATTTTCGACATTTTCTACCCCAACGGCACCAGCACCGACACCGTCACCAATGCCACAACCTACTCATTTACCGAGTCATCAATGGAGATTCCCAAACCACTGATTCCGCAGGTTCCGCATCCTGGTCAGGTTCCGACATCAACATGCCCACCAGCACCGACCCGTCCGACTCGCGCAGTCTCCACTGCTGCCAAAACCGCACCAAAACGACCGGACAAGCCACGCCGTGCTCCTCCTCGGGTTCAAGGTCCTCCACCTGGCAACCAACTCCAGCAGCAAATCGATTCACGCCGGGAAGATCTTGACAAGTTGGACACAAACGCCAAAGAAGTGGCCGAATCTATCCTCAAGATGCAGCAACAACAACAACAACAGCTGATCAACTCTCAAAGTCATCTTCAAACTCCACCTCCAGTGACCGCACCACCACCTCTACCTTCAGCTCCACCTCCGGCACAACCACCCACGTCCACTCCAGCACGGCCAATAGAACCTGCCATTCTGATTCCATCGCCATCTCCTAATCCACGGACGACCTGGACACGGCATCGCCGATCCCGCTCTCGCCGACGACCATCCAGCCCTACGAGACGCTCAATGCATCGCCGACAGAGCCCATCCCCTCGCCGATCCCTTTTCATCGACCACGACCACGAGATCCACTTCCACGCCAATGCTCCGCAAACCCAAATCCAAAAAGCAGAAGAACCCTTCACCATATTGTCGCCGTTCACCAGCCAGACCACGCACTCCCCGTCGTCCTCGCCATGGCACCCCTGGACAAGATCAATGCAGTCGATCACCTGGTCGAGAACCCATTGCCCTGAGCATCGGATATTGACACAATCAACAAACTTTTGAGAGTAATATTTCTGAATTGATTTCTCCAAAAAAAACAATCTTGGAGGCCAAAGTTTCCATTCAAAAATCAATATCAGATCACCGAAAAAAGCAAAACAACAATAACAAAAATCAAAAAAAACAATACAAAATCCATTATCCCAACTTCCAGATCTGCATGGTCCCTGCTGCAGCAGCATTTTTTCTTGTAGAATAAGCATACGATGTACACATGCATGACCTTTTTCAAGGTGTTGGGTCTTGCTGATATCCTTTCCCAAGTTTTTGGGTGATCCTTTCTCAAGGTTCTGGATGTAGCTGTGTCCTTTTTCAAGGATCAATGTTCATACCAGCTTCCTGCATCCCTTCTCTGGTCAGCAAGAAGTGAAGCAAGATCCTGTATTTAGGAGCTACCTTAAGGCTCAACCTTGTGGAGCTAACCCCAGGACGAACACTTGCTGTGAGAATGCTCATTTTTCCAACAAAATTCTCTGAACTAAATGTCCAGTGAGTTTTTGGATTTAAAAACTTTGCATTCTCAAGCAAGTGTTGGAATGTGTGATGTTTCATCACAATGTTAATCAAGGTTCTCCCTTTTTCAAAGGCCCAGTCTGAGAGATGGCTGTACTGGGTGGAAAAGCTGTCTCCCAGCTCCATGGCCTGTAGCCACTCATCATGTGTCAAGAAGACATCAGCTTCATCAAACAAATGAATGAGAGCTGCCATGTCATTCACAGCATCCAGCATGGCTGCTTCATGCTCTTTTTCAAGAGACACAAGCTCTGCCAGAACTGGGGCAAAAGCTTGGAGAAACCATTTGGTTTCTGAGCGTTTCAAATATAATTGAGCAAAGGTCTTATGAGAATCTTTGGGGTTGCAAACCATGCTGAGTCGAAGGTTTGTCACCCTTTGAGATATCTTTTTCAAGACATACTCTTTCTGTACAGCTTCAAAAATTGTACCTAGCCTCTTTTCAGGGGGCACTTTCTGGGCAACACCAACACCATCATAATAATAAAGAAAATAGTGAATGATAGATCCCAGAAGGTGGCCCAGCACACCTTTGCAAAACAAAATGTGGAGGCAATCACCCCTCACCGCTCACCATTTTGGTGCTCAAGCCTGGAATCACCCCAGAGAACAAAGCATGTGTGCGTTTAGGCTTTTTCAAGCACTCCTCATGGGATGAAACTTTCCAGCCTTGCTTCCCTTTTTCAAGGGTTTTGTACCACATGCTTTTCCCTTTTTCAAAGGTTTTGCTGCAAGAGCATTCCCAACAGGGGCCCTTGCTGGCCCAATGTGGTAACTTCAGGGAGTTTGAGAAAAGCTCATGGTCCCCCTGTATGGACCAAAAGACACCCTTCAGTCCTTTTGCCAGAGGTTTTCCTTTCTCAAGGAAAAAAGGGGAATCTTTTTTCAAAGGTTTTGCCCAGGGATCATGAGATGGATGGTAGCCATTTTGCATTGCTGCAAATGACCAACAGATCCATTCTTGCATGGTGTCCCATGTCTCTGGCACAGTGCAGCTCTTGGGGAAGGATGCAATGTAAAAATGTGAAGACAAGCTTGACATTTGTTGCAACAGGCTCCCCCAAGAGTAGATCATCAGACTATCTCTAGTCTGGTATTCTACACCACCTCCATGCAAGAACAGAGGTAGTGTAGTTTTTTTCCACATCCTGCCCTCCAGGGCTGGGTAGTTTTTGAACCTGCCATCACCTTTTTCAAGGGCTTGGTTCCAAAAGGATTCCACTTTTTCAAGTGGGAAAATAACTTCAAAGGCATTATAGGTGAAAAGCTTGGCAAACATCTGGTGAGGCAGCAGCATGGCAGCTGTGTCCTCATCCTTTTTCAAGGTCTTGAGATTTTACATGGAACTTTTTCAAGTTCAAAGGGGGTTGGCATGTCCAAGCCTTTGCAAAAGGTTGCCATGAGATCCCTGTTTATGTTGCCAGGGTGAAGCCCATGGGAACCACATTTTGCAATTTTGACAAGCTCATCATGCTGTGCCCCATCCAGAAGTGCACTCTCAGCCAGCCACCTCATGGTAGTACCTGACACTTTGCCATGGCACCGCAAAGACAGTAAAGCAGTAGCCAATGCACTACCAACTGTCTTTTTAGGCACCTTCTTTGGGACCCGCAAGGCTTTTTCAAGGTGAAAGCCCTGAGTCTCTTGGCCATTGCAAACCTCCTTTTTCAAGGGGTGTATCAAAGCTCCTTTTTCAAGGGGTGTATGACAAACCTTTTTCAAGGTGCAGGAGTGAATAAACAAAAATTTCTTTTTTTCTCTACTATTTGAGCCAAAACAAAGCTACCACTGATATGCAATGCTTCCCTGTGGCCCTAACCCCCACTCATGCAGGGCAGCTTCCAACTTTTTTCTTTGCCTCATATGGTAGATTCATGATCGACAGATTTTCACTGCCTTTCAAAAACCAGCTTTTCTACAAGCTTCAAAAGCACAGCTCTTCTACAGGCTGAATTAACCTTTTTCAAGGATGTAGATACCTTTTTCAAGGTGTCCCAGGACTTAGATCCTTTTTCAAGGATCATTTCTTGGCCTTGGAGGAAGCAGCCTTGCTCACAGCTTTAAAGCTAATCTGTACAAGCTCTTTGGCTTCCTCCTTGGCATCCTTCATGCAAGCACATGCCTCCAGGATGTGCTCCTTCAGAACCTCCACTTTGTTCTTTTCTCCTTTTTCAAGGAGTTTTTTTGTTTTCTTCGCCATTTCATGGAGGCCATCCAGAACACCTTGCTTGTCCTTGAAGGACTGCTTGCTCAGGTAAGGGCTCTTTTCCACCTTTTTCAAGGCTTCCTCAAAGTTGCTGGAGGTGCTGGTGGGCATGTCCCTGGTCTTCTTTGCCTTTTTCAAGGCAGTTGCCAGGTCCATAGGCTCCTCATCAGCATCCTCAAGGGACTGGGGCTTGGGCTTGGCCCTGGCTTTACCTTTGCCTTTGCCTTTCTCAAGGCCAGAGCCATTGGCAGAGCCTTTGCCTTTTGATGACTCCTGGGGTGACTGGCCACGATCTGCAGCAACCCATCGACCTGCTACGCCTCCATCACGCCCTGCTGCTCCAGCGTCGGAACCTCCACCATATAGGGGCAGTGTCAAATCGCTTGCCCGATGGCAACACAGATGACAGCGACGATGAGGGAGCCACCTACGCCATCGGCGACTTCGAATCTGCTACTCAATGTCAATGGCTCACTGAATTCAAGGATGCTGACAAAGACCCTGAAAGAGTCAGATGCGTCAACGAATTGCCTTCCACTCACTCAATACGTTTGAAGGAGCGATTGTCCCGCGCAGAAAACGAGCTCTTCAAGTCTTTTGTCGACGAGATGTTTACCCAGCTGGCCAAGGCCTACATCACTGCCTCAAAACAGGAAATATTCATCAAAGCAGATGAAACAACAGTGCTCAACATTAATGCTTGCTGCTACGCCTACTCGGACCGCTTGGACCTGAACCTCGCAAAGCGCACTCAGGGATATTTCATCGAGCCGGAAAATTTGTTGACCATCACGGTGCCAACGGGCCTACCTTCCAAGGATCCACACAAAGGAGATGACAGCAACACCTATGCCAGTTACCATCGAACTGACTGGTCCGCAGTGACCAAAATCCGGGTGGAGGACTGCATCAGGCCAGCGGGCTGGAGCAAAAATGAACGCAATGTTCCAAACCAGTACCCTTGCTACGAATTCTTTGGCTTCTCGACCGAGACCGATGATCCGGACGATCTTGGTCACTGGGCAGTCAAAAACTGCACATCCAATCTCTTCAGGATCGGCAAGGGCCAGCTTCCGGTTGGATTGATAGCAACGTGCCGAAGTCCGAAGATATCCAAGCAATCGGCCGGAGGAAACGACCAATTACAACGGATGTGCAGGCTCCAGGGAATCGCGAAGGGCAAGGACGGTGCAACCGCAATGAATTCTTCATGTGCCTCCGTGTCCTACGTCGCTGCCACTCAACAGGTGTCTCCATCCCTGATTACAAGAACAGCATCATCGTGTAGACCGACAACTCCACCACCGGATCCTCGCCCCGGCTCCTGCCTCATCGCCTGCCCCTGCTTCATCACCAGCTGCTCCTCCGGAACCATCAACACGAGAACATCGCCGAGGAGAAACATCACAGCGCTACCATCGGGGAAGAACATCAAACTACACCCACCATCATCGGGGACATCATCGGGAAGGAGCATCAGATTCCTACAACTACCACCGCGAAGGAACCTCGAGTGGCTATCATCGTGAAGGCGCTTCGGATTACAACAACTCCTACAGGAACTCCTCTCATCGCGGATGGTAAGGTTACGTCCTTTGACCCAGGCTTTTCCGAGCCTCGTCAATTTCTTTCACACTGATTTTGGAGTAACAATGCTTCTCCCGAAGGGTGACGACACTGAGCCTCACACCTTCCGATAAAACAGGTGTTAGTTGGCTGTACTCTTAGTTTGATCTTTGATGCGAAATAGAAAACGTTGAACTATATATGGCTTGGGGCTAAGCCAAGAACCCCACCTAGTATGTAATTTGTGGTGCAACGACCTGTTTTCGGCGATATTTATTATTTTTTCACCTGGACAAATGGCTGGGGCTAAGTCGAGAACCCCTATCACCATCAAACATGCTATCTTTGTAGTGCTTTTGCAGCTGGCTCCCCTTTCCGCGTGAACTTCGAATCTACTGTCGTCTACATGGTGTCCCAAGAGCAGATCTCCCAGTTCTCTGATATTTCGCAGATGATTCCTCCATCCCAACCTGATCGTTCTCGAACTCCCAGACGAGATGGCGGTGATTGGACTACTACTCGAAGCTCCGGTGAACTTATATCTTAGATTAGAACTTGTTCAGTTAAGTTGTATGTTAGACACTAGTTTGTCAAGTATGGTTGTAAGTTCTCCCGTGTGGATAAGTTAGTTGTAGAATTAAAGGTGTTACTTGTGGTACTTCAAGGGTGAACTTAGGGGGGAGTAAGGGGTAACTTGGGGGTAACTTGGTGGTTAGCGTAATTTGTTGGTTCCATGTCATTGTTTCTTTCCCGCAGCATTTGGTTTTCATAGTTTCCGGTTAGGTTAGACCTGTAGTTCTGATTGTGTGTTTTACTCATAGTCCCCCTGCACTGCAAACACATATGCTCTGTGGCCATTGGGGTGAAGAGGCTTCCCTGCTTTTCCAAACAGGGGGCTGCCCTTTTCCAAGGGTTTGCCATCAGAGTCATGTGTTGGGTGCAGCCCTTTTCCAAGAGCATCAAATGAGCATCTCAAAACTTTCCAGATGGATGGCCATGTCTCCTTAGTGGTGCATGATTTGGGGAATGCTGCTAGGAGAATATGCTTTTCCAAGCTGGATTGGTCACCCAACATGCACCCCCATGACCACACCATCATGGAATCACGGTTTTGGTATTCCACACCATCCCCATGCAAAAATAAAGGAATTGATTTTTGCTTCCAATGCTTTTCCAAGCACATAGGGTGGCCTTCAAGCCTATCATCCCCCACCTTCTGCACTCCTTCCCAAAACTTTTCCAAGCTGCCTTTTCCAAGGCTGAAAGCTTCCTGGCAGAACATTGGGTAATGTTCTGCCAAAGCAGCAAAGTGCAAATGTGGGAGCATGACAGCTGCTTGATCCAGCTTTTCCAAGCTAGTTTTTGCATCAATGCATTTGACACTGATGTGGAAGGGCTCAGCCAGTTTCACATTGGCACAAAATTTCTTCATGACCTGTTTGTGAATGTTTCCTGGCTGAGCCCCCCAGTTGCCACTTTCAGCTAATTTTATTAGCTCTGGGTGGCTTGCACCATCTTCCATTGCTAGACTTGCAAGTTCCCTGATCATGGTTGCTGATAGGAGGCCACTTCCCCACAAATGCAGCAACCTGGTGGCCAGGGATGATGGGTTTGGCTCAGCATTTTCCAAGGCATGAACCTTTTCCAAGGCCTTGCCCTTTCTTTGCACTTGCCTGCCAGATTCCATTTCCAGCTGCCATCCTCTGACCCTTTTGGCCATTGACTTTTCCAAGCCTTTGGTTCTGGACTTTTCCAAGCCTGCTTCTATGAATACAATGAAAAACAAAATTTGGAGCCAACACAGCTGCAGCAAGGGCATGCACCATTCACTTGATCAACCTTAGACATGTCTCTGTGTGTGGGGCAGCAGCTTCACTTTTTCCAACCTGCCAAAACTGTGGGCTGCCACTGGTGGGCTGCCAAAGGTCTTTGCCAAAGATGCCTATGGCTATGCATGGGTTGCATTGCAAACAGATGATGCTTTTCCAAACAATTCCAGAGTGAGGGTCACATATAAAGATGCAACCCATGCATAGCTTCTGGCTATATACACAATGCCTTTTCCAAGGCATGCAGGTTTTCCAAAGTCTTTTCCAAGACCTTTTGGCATTGACCTTTTCCAAAATCAATTGCCTCTCCTGCTTCCAGCTGTGGACATGGCCCTGCCACCAAGACTTTTGAGCTCTCTTGTCTCATCTTTGGCATCCTTGACAACTTGGGCCACATCTATCAGCTTCTTTTTCATTGACTTAATGTCTTTGCTGTTCTTTCCAGACAGCATATTTTTCAGGTCACCAATAGCTTTTCCAAGCTTCTTCAAAGCATCCTCTGCAGATGCTCTGCCAACCTTGTTCAGCTTGGCCTTAGCCTTTTCCAAAGCCACTTCCAAGTCTGACTGGGTGGAAGCAACCATGTTCTTGGCTGTCTTGCAAGCCTTCATTACCTTTTCCAAGGAATCCAGCTTGCCCTCAGGAACATTCTTGTTGCTGTTGTTTTTGGTTTTGCCTTTTCCAAGACCTTTGCCCTTCCCAGAGCTCTTTCCAGAGCCTTTAGGGTGATCATCCACCTCCAGGGAATGGCAGTCTTTGGTGAAGAGATCCATGAACTTTTCCAAGTCCTCCTCCAGTGGATCATACTCCACCCCCTGCTGCCATTCCTTATTCCTGTTGGTGGTGGCCTCCCTGTGGTAGTCCTGGGTGTCCTTATATTCATACACACCCCAGGTGGAAGGACACTCTCTCCAAACAACTCTCCCAGACTGCAAATGGAGCTCAAGTTCATCTTTTGTGAACTTGGCCAGCATTTGCAACTCTGTCTGCCAGTCATCTGTTTTGGTGACCTTCTCTCCTACAGATACCTTTTTCAAGGCTGTCATGTAGGATTTGCCCTCCTTTTCCAAGAGAAAGGCTGCAGCTGCAATGCCTTTGTCTTTCTTTGACATGTCATTGTAAGCTGCTTGCTCCTCCTTGGAGCCATGCTTGAGAGCAGTCTGGTGCTTACTCCAAGCCTTTGACTTCTCCAGCTTGGACATGCTCTCATGCAAGGCAATGGCAGCTGCATTTGGGTCCTCTGCCCCTTCAGCTGCTGCCTGCATCTTGTCTTTCAAGCTCATCTGGCCTAACTTTTCCAAGCTGGCCTTGCTGAGCTTTGAAGCCTTTCCAGGCTTGCTAGCCTTTCCAGGCTTGCTAGCCTTTCCAGGCTTGCTAGCCTTTCCAGGCTTGCTTTTCCAAGTCCAAGCCTTTGGTTTCTTCATGACTTTCTTGGTCTTTTCCAAGCCCCTGGTCTTTTCCAAGACCTTCATGGTTTTCATTGCCTTTTTGGGTGCCATTGCTTCTTTGCACCTCAAGCTATATTTAGCGCTAAAACAGGTTTGAACCAAAACTGCCACATGTAGCTGGTGTCATGTTTGTTTACGTTGCTTGGAAAAGCAACCATAGGTAACCCCAAAAACATATAAACACATATGTTTGGAACAAACAAACACATGAACAATCACAAACAAATATGAACCCAACAAACACATTTAACATTGACACATATCATTCAAACCTATGTTGTACTCAAGTGTGTTGTTTGTTTTAGCCACACCCATTAAAAAAACAAAACAATATTGAATGGACTTTTCCAAGTCCATTGAAAACAAAAATTCCATTACATTGCTTGGATGCGCTATTTTGTTAGTTTGTTGGTTGTGTTGATGTATGTTGCTGTGTTTACTATTTATTTTTTTTGGACATTGGTAATGCATTTTTTGTCCCAAAAAAATATGTTTTTAATAAATTCATATTTGTTTTGTATTGCGTTTGTAATCTAAACCTTATATATATATGAAAAAAAACATATGTGTATTTGTTCAAAACCAAAAAACAATTTAGCGCAAAAATGAGAACATTCAAAAACATTTGTTCCACAATTGTTTTTTTTCAAAAAATAATAAGGGTTGCAATTTTGATCAAATCTGATCAAATCTGATCAAATTTGATCAAATTTGATCAAAATCAAGTTTTGATCAAATTTGATCAGATTTGATCAAATTTGATCAAAATTAAACAGAATTGATCACATTTGATCAAAACTGTATTTTTTTAGAATTTGTCAGTATTGGATCGAGCGCATCGCTCCGATTCCAAGCCAGAATCTCGGCAGACTGCAAGCAGATGTGCCACATCGGTGCAGGCCTCACGCCTGCATAGCAGTCTGATCTGCAGACTGCACCTGGCGTGATGTGCCTGCTTCAATGCCCACTCAGCTGAGAAGCCCTGACCATCGCTACTGCGATAGCTGTAGCGCTGCCAGGCGAAGTCTCCTGCGTTGCGCACACAGGCAGGCAGCAAGCAGTCCGTCGTGGCCTGTGACGATTGTCCTGTCAAGGTCACTCGAATCTCCAGGTTGGGCCTGCCGAAGATCGGTTCTTTTGTAAAAAAACAAATTCAAAAACAAAAACATTTTGTTTTGTTCTTTCAAGATTTTTTTTGGTAGTGGACTGGATTGTGAGCTTTGGTTAAACATAATTTGGTAGTGAAACAATTTTGATTTAGTCTCTGGACAAATATATTTACATTCAACACAGGTTTGGAAAAACCTGTCAAAAATTTCCAGTTTAGTTTTGCCAAGTTTTTCCAGCCTTGAGATTTGCCCAAATCCACTGCAGGTTGAGGGTCTCCAGATTTCAAAACAGGTTTGGAAAAAACTTTTCAAAAGTTTCTAGTTTATTCTTGCCAATTTTTTGAAGCCTTGCTACTTTTCCAAGTCCACTGCAGGTTGAGGGTCTCCAGGTTTCAAAACAGGTTTGAAAAAACTTTTCAAAAGTTTCCAGTTTATCCCTGCCAATTGTTTCCAGCCTTGAGACTTTTCCAAGTCCACTGCAGGTTGAGGGTCTCCAGATTTCAAAACAGGTTTGAAAAAACCTTTCAAAAGTTTCCAGTTTAGTCTTGCCAATTTTTTGAAGCCTTGAGACTTTTCCAAATCCACTGCAGGTTGGGGGTCTCCAGACTTCAACCTTTGAAAATTTTCCAGTTTAGTTTTGCCAATGTTTTGAAGCCTGGTGGCTTTTCCAAGTCCACACAACCCCAAATAATAGAAATAAATCAAAATAGAATTCAAATATATTTTTTGTTCATGTGTTATGTTTTCATTTTTCAAGGATTTAGTTTAAATACAAAAATATGTTTATTTAAAACAAATATTAAGAAAGCATTTTGAATAAATAAAATATACATAGATATCAATAAATATATATATATATATACATTTTGAATATATATATATGAATATATATATATATGAATATATATATATATATATATGTATATGAATATATATATATTTATATTTATATATATATATGTATATATATATAAATTTGTACACACACACATATATATATAAGATTATATTTTCAATTGTGTATTGATCTGTATACTTAAATTATATTTTCTATAGTTATATTTGCTCATAATTTTAGATTAATATTATTATTATTTAGATATTTTATATTTCATTTTTTTCATTATTCTGTAGTCTCTGTGGAACTGGTGTTTTACCATTTCCGCATTTCAAAAACACAACCTTGAAAAAGGCTGACTGTACACTGAACAAAAAAAGGCTTTTCCAAGCCTGCTGTTCCATGCTGAATGCGCCAACCACTTGAGAGGCTAATTGGGCAACAAACAGCTGACAATTATATGAATATATTATTTATAAAAATATATATATATATATATATGTATAGGTTGGTTTCAAGATTGTGAATATTTATATATATAAGCCTCTCAAGTGCCTGGTGCCTGCCTGTGCGGCATGGGTGGGACTGCATTGCATTGGCCAAACCAAACATATATAACCAATGTATAAGTTTGTTTTTTTCAACAAAACACTATTTCAACAAAAACATTTGCAATGCAGTCCCACTGTGGCATGGTTTCCTCTCTGGGCTTTTCCAAGCCCATTTGGCCTGAGTGGGGAGGCTTTTCCAAGCCTGGCTGGTGGCTTTTCCAAGCCCCTTTGGCCTGAGTGGGGAGGCTTTTCCAAGCCTGGCTGGGGGCTTTTCCAAGCCCATTTGCAAGTTGTGCTTTTCCAAGCACATGGGCCATGCTCTACTGGTGGTTCTTGAGGTATGCCTCCACTGCATCAGCAAAGGTTTCATACCCACCACCAGCCCTAGCATGGCCCTCCTGCAGAGTGTTGATTGGATAGACCTCCAATCCCCACTCCTGGCACTCTCTGATGATTGCTGCACAATCATCAAAGATTGCCTCAGCCCCCCAGTCACAGGCATGATGGCATTTGCCATCCTTGCCCACCTTCCTCTTGCAGAACATCATCCCACTGGGCATGATTCAAAGCCTTAGGCTTTTTGTCCTTTTCCAAGGACTCTGGGACCTTTTCCAAAGTCTTTCTTTTGCTCTTTTTCTTGCCACCCTGAACCTCCCAGGTTCCAGGTGGCTTTTCCAAGCCACTGCTGGGGCTGGCACTGCCAGTTGCAGACTTTTCCAAGTCCCTCCTGGGGGTCAGGGATGCCTTTCTGGGGGTCCCATCTTTTCCAAGACTTTTGGGCCCACCTTTTTTGCCCTCCACTGATAGCTTTTCCAAGCTCTTGCTCAGGGAAGCTTCCAGCTTCTCCTTGCACTTGGCTGTTGCCTTTTCCAAAGCTGCCAAGTGCTTCACATAGTTGGCAGGGCCCTGGGGGTCTGCCCCTCCAGGGCTGACCATTGAGCCCTTCTTTCCTTTCTGGCATGGGATGTTGTCCCATCCCCAAAAGGTCTTCCCTTTTTGTTGGGTGGCCCTGGAGGTGCCTCCATGACCACCCAACAGGCTAGGTCTTTTCCAAAACCAGCCAGGGAAAGTCTTTTCCAAGACCAGGCCCTTTCCAGGGTAGAGAAGCTTTTCCAAGCCAACCAACAGCTGCAGCTACTGGAGGCCTAGAAGCTGTGGTGTTGTGTGCTGCTGTGAAGTGTATGTGAAGTGTGCTGGTCAGTGTGTTGCTTGCCGATATGTTGTGTATATTGTGTGTGCTTGTGTATGTTCATGTCATGTTCATGTCATGTGTGTGTGGTGACATGTTGTCATGTGTGGTGACATGTTGTCATAGGTGGTGACATGCTGTCATGTTTTTGAGCCACTGGCTGCAGACATGCATACAAGTTCAACCTAGTGGCTACCAGTACCAGCTGGCCTAGTGGCTACACACAGCTGCTTGCAGTGGTCAGCAGCTTTTTTTTCACAAAAAGCAAAACTGCAGTTTCTCACCTACATGGTCTTTTCCAAGACCAATTTTCTGTACAGCTCAGGTCTTTTTAGACCTGGTTACAGCAAAAGGGTCTTTTCCAAGACCTTTTCTCTACAGCTCAGGTCTTGTTAGGCCTGGTTGCAGTTATGATCTTTTCCAAGACCTGATGGTGTCTTTTCCAAGCACTTGGCCTTGCAGGTGTCTTTTCCAAGACATTTGGGATGAAGTTCTCTATAAGCCACCATACTGCTTCAGCAGCTTGGCTCTCATAGAGAGGGCTTCTTCCTTGCTCAGGTTGTCCTTTTCAAAGGCTTCCCTGATCTTGCCAATCAAGGCCTTGTAGTGTGGACTCATCTTTGCACTGGTTTCCACAATCAGGTGCATTTTGCCACCTTCTACCATCCCACAGATATAAGATCTGGGGTTATCTTTTTTGGCATCAGTTTGCCTGAGCTTTACCCATGGCTTCCTTTCACTGGAAGTGCCCTTTCCAAGGCTGTCTTTTCCAAGACTTGCAGCAGGCTTCTTCAAGGGGCCTTTTCCAAGACATGCTGCAGGCTTTTTGAGGACAGGCTTGGCTTTTGCCTTTTTCTTTGACTTTCCCAAGTCATAGCCCATGGCCTCATGCAACCTGCTCCCTGGCCTTGCTTGGGATACCAGCTTGGGGGTGGAGGCAGGTGATTTTTCCAAACCACTGGTGCCAGAGGGGGATGGCTTTTCCAAACCACTTCTGCCCTTTTTCACCTTTGGGGACTTGAACATATCAGGGATGGTATCATCAGACCCCATGGTGGCATCACTATCCCTTGGCAGCAGCTGCCTGTTGGCTGCTTCTGCTTTTCCAAGCATCTTTTTGCTTCCAGCTTTATCATTGCTCACTTTGAGCTTTTCCAAGCCTTCCATGAGAGCTTGGTACTGCAGCCTGGTGAGTTTGCCAGCTACTGCTGTCAAACTGCTGGTATCCCTTTGGAGCTTCCTGCAATGGGTAAGCATGCAGTTCAGTCGCCCCACTTCCAAATTGCACCACACCTGTCCACTGTGGTCACTTGCATTCAGCTCAGGCATTTCCACCAAGAGGGACAGCAGTGCTTGCCTCAGTGGTTGTGAGTGGATCATGCCACTGGGTTCCAACTTTACCAAGTCTGGCCACAGTGGCTGCAAACCCACCCATGCTTTAGCATTTGGGGCAGAGCATGGTTAATGTGCTCATAGCTGCCCAAATTTTTCACCATTGCCCCATGCTTTTTCAAGCACTCATACAGAAGCCCCACATCTACCCAGGGTTTTGTTGGGTTTCTGTTTCCACCTCTCCCAGATATGGTCTTTTCCAAGACCTGCAGGTGCAGATCTTTTCCAAAACCTTGGTCTTTTCCAAGACCTGTTTGGACTTTTCCAAGACCTAGACTTGGATTTGCCCAAGCCTAGACCTTTTCCAAGATATTTCCAAAATTGCAAGCTGAAAAACAAAACAGCTCAAAGAGCCAAACAGCTGCAGGATATTGATATTGATATTGATTTTGATTGGGTTCAGAAACCTATCAATATGCTATCAAGAAATGAATCAATATTTCAAATCAATCTGCTATCAAGTATTAAATTTCACGAGCTCCTGGGATTTTGTGATTTTTAGGGATTATTGGATATCAAGGTCAAGATGCAATATTTGGTGCAGTGTACGCGCACAAGGGTGGCACCAAAAAACTTAAGCGTCATGGTTTGTACGGGTTTGCACTGGATCAGCCTTCCATAAATGGAAGTGGTCCAATTAATCGTTCAGAAAAAATGAAACGGTCGGAAACGGTCGGAAACAGTCGGAAACGGTCGGAAACATGATCAGGCCAAAACTTGTTCAACCCGCATTTTTTTTTTTAATAAGCATTTCCGCGCAACGCCGTTTTTTTTTTGAAGGTCCAAAGGTGTCCAAGGGGAAACGGTTGGAAACAGTCGGAGATCGCACCTTCGCTCGGCAAAAAAGACATGTTTTTACAGAATTTTCAAACATGTTTCATGAACATATGCTACAAAACAACTACTTTTTTGCCGAGCGAAATGTTGTTTTGTAGCATATGTTCATGAAACATGTTTGAAAATTCTGTAAAAACATGTCTTTTTTGCCGAGCGAAGGTGCGATCTCCGACTGTTTCCAACCGTTTCCCCTTGGACACCTTTGGACCTTCAAAAAAAAACGGCGTTGCGCGGAAATGCTTATTTAAAAAAAATGCGGGTTGAACAAGTTTTGGCCTGATCATGTTTCCGACCGTTTCCGACTGTTTCCGACCGTTTCCGACCGTTTCATTTTTTCTGAACGATTAATTGGACCACTTCCATTTATGGAAGGCTGATCCAGTGCAAACCCGTGCAAACCATGACGCTTAAGTTTTTTGGTGCCACCCTTGTGCGCGTACACTGCACCAAATATTGCATCTTGACCTTGATATCCAATAATCCCTAAAAATCACAAAATCCCAGGAGCTCGTGAAATTTAATACTATCAAGAAAAATATAAATAAAAAATATTGATTTGCAAGTTGACCAAGCAAATCAATATCTCAGAGCCTCAAAATATTGATTCTAATCAATATGCGATGCTCAGGGCAAGTCTTCACCCTTTCCCTGTGAAGGCGACTTTCTGCGTGAAAGAGACACTTGAAAGGCACCGTGCATAAAGCGGCTGGCTGCGAGCCGGAAGGAAACGAAACGACTGCGTGTCGCCGTGGGTTGAAGCGCCCTGCTGCGGCTGGGAGAAAGCTTCGGGAAGCCAAGCGCTGGATGCCGAAGGCAAAGATCTGAGCAAGCCTGGGGGCAAGAAAGGACCTGCTGGCCGGGTCGCCAAGTCTAGCGGCAAGCAGCCTGCCAAACCTGGAAAGAAAAAGATGAAGACAGCGAAGCTTGGAACGTTGAAGCCGTCCAAGCCTGGCGGCCAGAAGGTTGAGCACACTTCGGAATACAAGAATTATACCTTCTCAGCGAAGGGCTATGGGCAGTGCAAGGTGGAATATTATAGCGCCAAGTCGTATATTCGACAGTGGCTGGAAAAAGAGAAGCGTTACGTTATGATTATTGGAGATTCAACTGCCAAGCATCGTGCTGTGTGCCGAGCGCTTGTGAAGCAGGTTCAAGCAGGAATGACTCGCGAAAAGCTCTTGGAACTGCGTGCTACACTGCAGGCTCGCATCTAGGTATGTCAAATTTTGATCTCAGACAGAGATCCAACCTGTATCGATGTCGCACTTGGGGGGGTATAAAAAGAGCTGTGACTTTCAAGTGGCGGGTCTGGGACAATGGAAATGGCGGAATGTAGAAATAAAAAACATACATAGATAAACCAATGTATTTTTTGGTTGCTGATTACATTTAAAAAAATCCATCTCTATATATACATTATAAATATATATAATGAAACTAATACATGTATATACATACATATACATGTATACTCAATTATATTTTACGAGTGAAGAAATGTAGTATAAAAATAACCGTAGCATGTTATGTCACTATTTGTTTTTGTGTGCATACATATCATACATGTGTTGAATGTCATGTAGTATATGGGGCTCAAACTAGAGGTTCCTGTCCGGAACCTCTCCGTGCTGTGGTGGAGGCCGGATGTCGTCACCAGAGTACATGTTTGATTCCAAGTGAATGTGTATATCAATATTTAACCACTCAAATATAATAGCTTATATCTTGTCGCCTCCCCGCATTGTTCGCAGGTTGGCTCCGCTGGAAATGTCCCCTGCGGGTCCAGAGTTCACAGAGAGCTCCGAAGAGTCAGTGAGCGAGGAGGCGAGCCCTCCCCGCGATGCACCTGGCACCACTGCCAAAGCCAAAGCTGCTCCCCCACGGTCTTCGAGTGAGACAAGCGCAGAAGATTCGAATGAAAGCATGGAAGCGGCTTTGGTAGAGGCGCGTGAGGCGCGTCGCGCACGAGCTGCTGAATCGGAGACACCATGGCGCCCCCAGCCAGACGAAGGGAAAGGACGTGGCAAAGGCAAAAGGGCAAGCACGTGTCAGTATTGCTGGCGCCCTCTGACAAGTCATCCTTCAGGGCAGGATCAGCATCAGTGGACCTTGCTGCAGTGCTTGCAGTGGCAAGTGTATCCTGGCATGAGGTGGCGTGGCGCACCAAAGCTGACAGGCTGGCTCCTGACGCGTACATCCCACCACACCCGGACGCTGCGGGCTCCGGAATTGCGCGCCGCGAGCCCGTGGTGGAGCCGCCGCCGCCACCTCCTCCGAGCAGGAAGACAACTGTGCGAGAGGAAAGCCATGAGAAGGCGGTGCCCCATGTCGCAACATCCACATCCTCCTGCTGCTCATGGCCAACCACGTCGCGAACTTCCTCATGATGCTCCTCTCCGACACAATCTGGCTTCCATTGTGTATGATGACCAGACGCTGCCAACCTATATCCCGCATGCTACCAGAGCCGTCCCCAATGCGACCACGGTCCACACGATCTATGTCAAGCGGGTCAGCCACCCATTCTCTCCTCGGCCGGATGAACTATGGATCATGGCGGAGCTCAACTCAGAAGGCCTTGAAACCTGGCGCTCCCTTGAATCATTCCTGGGCACTCTTCATTTATCGAACGACCCCTTAGTCCTTCCCGCTGTGGCCAACCAATGGAGACGTATACACTATGAAGTCGCCCCAATCACACAAACGCACATTTCTCCAAATCTGGACCCTGTACTACCACATCCTGAACATTCCAACATCACCTTCGGACAACCGGTCTCCGTGATCCCGGACCACACTTCGATCCTACAAGCATGCTGGGGCCGATCCGCGCATCAACATTCCCAAGGTGAACCCATCTCCTTAAGCTGGCCCCCAGCACGTCAAACACCGCCGACATCGCCGACACGGTCGACTTTGTGGACTCCCACTTCACACCCATCGCCGGCGATTCCATCATCTCCAACACCGCTGCCTCAACGTGGGTAGCAATGTGCTGATATGTTATACTCCAGTGTTTAATCGTCCAAAATCAATTCTGGACCAAAATTTGTGCTGCGCCCACCATTCTATTACATGGTTTTCACCCCGTTGAGTTGTGCTTTTTGACATATCCTCAATTATGCCTCAGCAGACATTTGGATCTATACACCAGACGTCAACCGAGTATACCCGTGATTTTTCATGGCTCCGAAAGGATCTCGACGATTTCATCCAATCTTGCTACTTCGGAAGTTCAGACCGTATCCGGAAGGCGCCCCTGTTCTTGGTATGCTGGACCTGGTCGACAACCTGCTGGTGAAGATCCGCCTCCAAATAGACCTGTGCTAGTCATTGTGGATTACACGGCTCTCCAGGACCTATCACATGACAGCGAAGCCAATTCTGCAACCTTCCGAGCCCTACGTCCAGGCAACTTTCGCTATACACTTCGAATGGGGAATACGAAGCCCTCTTCACCTGGGCTCAGCAATACTCACCGGAGATGGCATCAGCCGTGCCCATTGGAAACCTGCGTGTGGGCATTTGCAAGCGCCTTTGGCACCAGTGGGACATTCGCATGGAAACTACTGACCTTGAGCTTCGCTATCGACCTTGACGGAGATGTCTTTCAAGTATACCCAATGACACCACCATCATGCGATTGTTGGAGGAGTATCGACCTGAGTGGCGCACAGAACAGTATAGCTTTTTGACCTGTGGCGCCTTGGTTCCTGCCCTTAAGATCCGGTTAGGCTAAAAAGTTGCTTTTAGGTTATGCCAACCTAATTAGGTTAACTTAACCTAATTAGGTTATTCTACAGGTTATGAAAAGAGTGTTTTAGGTTTGGTTAAGGTTTAGGTTAATCATGTAAATAACCTGAAAAATAGGATAAGCAGATAAATAACCTAAAAGTTCTTAGGTTGATTAAATTAATAACCTAAACGATTTTTTAGGTTTAAACTGCATTTAAGTTTGAAACTGTCTGTTAACATCTATGTCTACACAACCATTTTCTGTTGCAGCAAACATATACCTTTAAACATTTTTTGTTCGACTTGGGGTTCTAATGTCACTTGTAACTTCACTTGACCTATGCATCACATAGTTCACGTTTAACTTTCACTTGAAATTTCAGAAGAAACTTCACTTGGCATTGACATGTCATGAT